GCCCCCGGGGAGCCGCTCGCTGGGGCTGGGAGCTGGCGGGATGCGGGGTCTGCTCGGCCGGTTCAAGGGCAGCTCTGCAGAGGGTGAGAGTGGGTTTGGAAAGCTCTTGTCTCCTTCTGTCTCGCGTTGGTTTTGTATGGAGGTGGTTTTGTATTAGGTGAGTTCTGGCCAAGAAAAGTTCTTGCAAGTCTTGTGGCTCCTAGTTGGAGCAGCCCAAAAAAAACAGCACAGTTCTAGGAGTAGAGGTGCTTTGATGTCTCCTTTACTTACCTAAACAGACAAAAGACTTGTGGCATTGTAGGGGTAATCAAAAGACAAAGGAAACAAGCAGAAAACCTGGGTTTGTGCCACACGCGCACGCTTCTGCTGTGCAGAGTGAGAAGACATGCTGGCCTGGGACCTTCTCATGGCAGCTTGTGGATGTGTTGTGACAATTGAAATAAAGAAAACCAATGCCATAAGTGAGGGCGAGCAAGCTTCCTGTGATGGAGCTTCTCTGCTGAGAAATAGGAGCTGTATGGAAGCCAGCTAGGACAGATACAGGAGTGGAAGACATCAAGGAAAGCAAAGTGAGGTTAGGAAAATGTATTGCTTTGGCCTTTTTTTTTATTTATATCTTAATGCTGCTGCCAGGTCCACCAGCATTAAAATCTCAGTTTAGATTGTAAAACAAACAGAAGGAAACCAAAAGAACTGATCTTTAAAGAGTTGAGGCAGAGGTAAGAATTGAGATAAACAGAAAAATCAATGTTATCAGCAACCCAGAAACCAATTTTCAAATACATGTGTTTAGTAGGGTAAGCAGCCTGAATCTTTTAGCAGCATAAATCATTACCTTACAGAAAAAGAGGGGGGAAAAAAGCAGGGAAGCAGTATCAAAGCATTTGAGTAACATACATGCACTTTAAATAACTATCTGAAAGTTAGTGATACTATATTACTGCATGACTTCTAAGAATAAAAATGTAAACAATAATGTAGTGACTTGATTTTTTTAATCTAAATGTTGAAATAAAAAATCATTTCTACACTTGAAATAAAAAATCATTTCTACACTGTGCTATTACTCTGGCATACCTGTGGGTTGCTGCTCTGTGTGTGGGTGTTGCCAACGTAGGTCCTGTCCCTTGGGGCCATCCTACAGGTTTTAAAGCTTTTCAAGGTAACCTTGTTATGAATATTCCTTTTGTCCTCTAGCGCCATCTCAATCAGGTATCAAACAAGCATTTATACACGTACGCGAAGGGCTGCCTTTGTTTCTCCTGCCGCGGTAGGACACCTTTCTCTGCCACGCTGAAGTGAGTTGGTTGCAGTGGAAGAGCCTCCAAGTGAAAGCTCTGGGGAGGGGAGAAAACCTGGGGTGGTTTCCCCTAAGGGGGAGGGAGCTAAGGGACGGTTACTGTGAGCGCTTTCTCAAAACCTTCGGCATTGTTGCCAAGAGCGGGCTTGCTATAGTGGCTGTAACCTGTAACAAGCACTGAGCTGTTTACTGTGTTTGAAAGCTTCCACTTGCTAGCTAGGCTATTAGCAGTTCACCTCAGCCCGTGCAGCCCCGTCCACTTGTGCTTGACCTTGCCGAGCTGCTTTTAATCAAGTTTGTTCAGCTTACTATTTTTGTGAAAGCATATGAGAAAAATCTGTGTATTTTTTGTGGTCTGCAAAACCTGTACTTCCCACTTCGGACAGGGGAGAGTCCTCTGCTGCATTTAGTGATGTGTTCCCCTGCGTGGTCGATAATTCTACATCCAAGTGTTAGGTGCCATCAAATGAAAGTAGAGGTAATCCCACAATACAGTTGTTGTTTCAACAGTACTGGCTTATTGCCTACTAAGCATACCTACTTGCAGCTTTTCAAAAAGTTTCGTATTCTTAAAAAGGCACTGTGCATTTTTCCTGACAGCTCTTGGTCAGTACTGGTGAAATAGTCTCAGTGATTCATTTTTGGTTATGCCACCATGAAAGAAAAATGCTCTTTTTTTTGTACTTGGAAATAAAGTAGTGGAAGAAGCAGGAGGATGTGTGATTTGTAATCCTATAACTGCTCAGGAAGCATACTGGTTTAAATATATATGTGTGTATGTATACTTAGGTTTTTCCTTCTCAGGCCTTGCTAAGAGTATGGACCTACACAGGTGGATGTTAAATAGTTTTATACGTTTGGGTGTTGAGTGACCCTACCGTAGCTGGATGTTCTGTGAATAATCCATTCCTGACTGACAGCTTCCAGAACATGATTGCCTTGGATTTTGTCTCTATCAAAGCAACTCTTTCTTTGTTTTTCTGTGAAGATCTATGGTGACTCCAATAACTTAGTCATCATTTGAAAGTGTTGCAGCTGTTGCTGATCATCCAAACTTTGTATTGACGAATCAGCCCCACTAGTCAGTATTTGTTTTACGTGACCAGGGGTGTTGTATGTGAATGAACGTTGAATGTTCACAGCAATATTTGTTTTCTATATTACCATTTCTTACTATTTTTTTTTTGTCATGCATGACTGGTTGTGCTAAAGTCAGAGTTTCTTTACTGTAATAGACTTATGCATCTTGTCTATAAGACAAAAGGAGTCCGTAGATCTGTTTTACATCAGTTTTTCAGCCAGGGAGATGACATGTGTTGAAAGCCAACATGAAAGAGAGTGAATTATTAGAAGGATCAAAGGAATTTTTACTTCCTGACCCCAAAGTTTCTGCCATTTTTTGAGGAATGTTGCTATCACAGTGTGCATTGCAAAATTGTCCTGCGTTCTGTGAGCTAAATAGCAGTCTGGTTATGGCACAGTCAGTCGGTCTGCTTGCTGTGGGGTTAAGAGCGCGTGCTGGCAAAAATGTATGTTGGCAGGCATATGCTCGTATATACCTTATTTTTGTGGCACAGCTGTGTCTGTACTGGGGGCTTCTATCAGCAGTTGTCTTGGTAAGGCATTAATATCTCCACACTTTACACTGACATAGCAATAGCGACGGATATCTGTAGCAAAGATCTGATCTGTACACGTTAGCCACGGAGTAAGTTGGGTTTTGGGAGCTATGAGAGCAAAGCCATTTTTCTGTCTTGCCTCTTGGGATCAGTCAGTCGAACTGTGCTGCTTTTTTGAATACTGCTTTTCAGGAACACATTTTGCAGCAGTTTAGCTACTGTTAGCCTGTTGCTTTTTGAGCCAGATCATATTCATTCTGCTAACTTTTTTTAAAATCGTAAGAAATTATTCTGTGGTTAGAAAGTATATTAACTTTCAAACCAAATGTGTTCCTTTCCTTGTTATCTACTTGAGTAAGTCTTTGAACTCTAAGTAGTTCATAGTTCTTCAAGGTACAAAACTAATTACCTGTCACAGTATTTGTGTCCACCCACCTGACAATCACTATGGGTAGCTTGCTCCCAAAAGCCACTATCTGTTCTGTTCATTTTTGTGACTTTTGCCACATATGCTTAACGCCATTCCCCCTATAGTAAAACACTTTAATATCTCTGCTCTCTTGGTTGGATAACCAATGCTTCTTGATATCATTTGAGATTGTTGTATGTGGACGAATGGGGAGAGCTTAAGCGTAAATTACTCAATTTTAGTTCCTTCCTGTACTTAGTAAATGAACCAAATAAGAGACATTAATTACTCATTACATAGTACTATCAACATACTAACTATAGGTTTTAAACTAATGATATAGAAATTAACTACACCGAAACACTCAAATGCCAGGGCTTTGTCTATGAAATGTGTGCTCACTCTGAAGATCATGAAGTGGTGGATAAGAACTCAGTTTGAATACAGAAATCCACAGCGCTGTTAAAGTTACGTCCTTTCACAGCAAAAGTGCTATCAGATCGCTTTAGAAGCGAGAGTTGCTGGCCCCTAGAAAACCAGGGAGAAAGCTAAGGTATCATTAAAGTTGACAGGTCTTCTGCAAAAAACATTCGTATGTCTATTTCACATTTACTCTTACCATATTTGTTAGTGAAGATATTAATGCTATCAAAATATACACTTACTACTATGAATATTGCAGCAGACTTGCAAAATCATCTATAAAAATAAATACTGTCAGCAGGGTTTATTTGCTGTAAACACTAGAATTGACTAAAATTAATGTTTGTGAATACTTTGTAGAAGAACATTGTGTTAGCAAACTTCCAGAAGGAAAATTGTTTGGGGTTGAAAGAAGAGTAATTAAAGGACATTGTCTTTTAGGACACTAGCGGGGGATTATATCTTCTCAAAAACCTTCAAACTAGGCATTAAACATAAGTTATATTTCCTATTCCGTTACTGAATAAAAACACTGGATAAAACTGTGTATTGCTGTCTGTCTACAAATACAAATTCTATTAACTGTTCTGATGTTCTGTATTTATTGTCAACAGCTGAAAAAAAATATGCCAGCGTACTTGGCTCCTTGGAGGGCTTCTCCGTGTGTCTTTAGATCTTCCAAATCGGAACTCATGCCGGATCTAGCCAGTGATGGAGTTGTCTGTGCTCCGCTTCAAACATTTACCGAAGAGGAGACAATGCTGAAAAATATGGGTACCTATTATGTGTGTGGTTAAAATTCAGAAATGTCTGACTAGAAGGGGAATTTTAGCTTAAAATTTTATTTTCATTATTTAATTATAGTTAAATGTTGAGTTTGTTGTGGGGGATTTTGCTTAATGTTAGTTGCTTTAGTTCAGAAGAGAAGAATGTAATGTTCTTTTTCCATGTTACCATAGCGCAATTCCACATACCACAGTGCAGTTTACTCTGCATAAATAAGTATTAGCTGTTTAAAACTGTTGCTGTCACAGAAGTGAAGTTGCCTAGCATTGACTCGTGCCCTTTTTAAAGTGTTTAGTTCAGCTACAGTTAGTTGCTCCGGCTGGTTTTCAGAGATTTCAAGTATACCCAGAATGGTAACAGATGTGATGTGAGCGTCTGCAAAGCAGCCAGACCTGCACGAAGACGGCAGTGTTTCAGAAAGGATCCTCGGAGCAAAGGTGAAAGAGTGAGGACCTGCATATCTGGAAGAGAGCTTATAAAAGGCTCTGGTTAAACACGAACAGTCTTACAGGATTTTGTGCAATCAAAATAACGTGCGTTAAAGCCTGAGACCATGTTCCCAAACTGCAGATTTAATTTATAAAGAAATACAATACAGCTAACCAAATAAGGGATGTATTTGAAATATTTTCTATAATTTTTTTGGTCAACTGATGTTACATAAGTGTTGCTGAGATGCTTTCAAGGTTTCTGAATTTATAGGAAGTATCTGTTTCGGTTTAGAGAGTTGTAGCTGAGTTCAGAAAGCAATTATAATTGAGCCTTGTGGCATATTACCTTGTTTCACTTGAGCAACTTTTTGTCCTTTTATTAACTTGTCTGGGAGAGTCAGGGAATACATGCATAACCTGTCAGAAGTACCATATTACTGTTATATTGATCTTCAAGTAGGGTGTTAGAATACTTACACACTTTCTTTCTTCTCTTCATTGCAGTGACAAAATTTGCTCAGGAACGAGTTGCACCTTTGGTACAAAAAATGGATGAGAATTCAAAAATGGAAGACTCTGTAATACAGGGATTGTTTGAACAAGGGGTCTGAACACTTTTACTTAATCTTTTATTCAGAAAGTGACATCATTTTATGAATCTCTAGCTGTGGACTTTTTGGATTTTTAGATTAAAAGATTGAGGGATATAATTCAAATGAACTAATGAATAATTACAAATTTTGGATTTATCATCAGCAAGGCAACTCTCTCTTTTTTTACTGCATTATCACTCTCCATCTTTTCCTGTAGTATTCTTTCCGTCTCTCCCACTCCCATACCACATTCTTCGTCTTATCTTTGAGTTCCTTATCTCCCCCCGCCTCCCCCTTTTTTTTAGTTGGATAAGCATAATTGCACAGAGTGCTAGAACTGCCATGACTCTGATAAGTGTTGCTGGAAAAGGGTATCAGGAGTCCTCTATGTCCTTACTGGGCAACCACAAGGAATCACGTTGCAGATATCCTGTTGATCGTTCTTGGATTCAATTTTAGCCTTTCCTGCTATCAAACCTAAAGTTGTCTGTGTTTAGAATGTCATTTTATACAACAACTCTAAATATTAGACTTCTGTTGAGATTGCAATTGTTCTGGAAATTGTTCTAGTTATTTCTTGCATGAATTGATTATCAGCTTCTGTGAAGAATTGTTAGTTTGTTGAGGGTATTGAAGGAACACAGGTCTTTGGGGAAGGATCTGGAAATACTTACGTTCTGTGGTTTTTATTTTAATCTCTTAAGTATCAGCTTGGACTAACAAGTTGTTGACAAGAACTAACAGATTGATATATTTGCATCTTTTACGTTTCAGCTGATGAGTATTGAGCTTGGGGAGGAATATGGAGGAACTGGAGCTTCATTTTTTTCAATCATACTGGTGGTAGAAGAGTTGGCCAAAGTTGATCCAGCTGTAGCTCTTCTATGTGAACTCCAAAATACACTAACAAATAAGTTGTTCACCACATATGGAACAGAAGAACAAAAGAGAACTTACTTGCCCAAAGTGGCTAAAGATACAGTGAGTCAAAGTCTCACTTTACTGAACTATAATGTAATTTTTAATAGTTAAGTAATGTTAGTGGGGTGGGTATTTTCAGTAACTAAATGGGTGACTGCAGCATTGGAAAATGCATGTGAACTTTGAAACACTGGTTAGAGCTGAGATCTGTGGTGATACAGATATATCCTGTCATCAGTAGCTGAGAGGTAAAAGTGGAAAGGCGCTTATTAGTTTCATTAAAATTTAATTTACTGTGGAAAAGAACTTTAAAGCAGTTGACTTTGAAACATGTAATTACATAGTGTTTCTATTCTTAATCTCCCTATATGAAACTTAGTTACTTTGATGCAATAGTTTAAAATGTTTGAATTTGAGACGTGTGCTTGTTTATAACTATTTTCGTTGCAGAATTTGTTATATGTCGTGCCTGTGTGTTCAGTAAAAAATAAAATTAATTTTTCCCTTCAATTGACAGATAGGCAGTTTCTGTCTTTCGGAGGCTGGATCTGGCAGTGATGCTTTTTCTTTGAAGACTCGGGCTGAAAAGAAAGGAGACTACTATATTATCAATGGCTCAAAGATGTGGATTAGCTTAGCAGAACACGCAGGAGTTTTCTTTGTGATGGCAAATACAGATCCGTCCTTAGTAAGTTGCTAAAGAATAGTTGCATTTCAGTGACAGCTGATTATATATGGAACTATGGATTTTATATTAATAATCTGATGTTAAAGGTTAATATTCTTTGAACCTTTCCCTAGCTGACAGCAAACCTTTAAAAATATTTCCCAACAAAAAATGAGAACTTGCTGAGCAATTTAATAAATTCCTCCCACCAGGGAAAATAAAAATGTCAGTATCATAATTGCTTAGATGAAGAGCACAGCATGCATTGGTATTATTCTGAGTAATGGAAGAACAGATAGTCGAGTCTTTCGAACCCTTCTGACTTAACTGACAAGTTGCGGTTGTTAAAAGGCAAAATAGAGCTTAGGCGACATGCACTGGAAGACTAACAAGAATACAACAGCAAACTATTTTCAGGTAAAAAAATACATAGTTGAATATGCACGTTTCAAGTTTTGTCACCAATTTGGATATAGGTAGTAGATTCAGAAAAGTCAACTGCAGTCTTTAAAATGTACTCTACCAATAAGGTAGAGTGATAATCAAATACAAAACTCAATTGTTTGAAATTTTTACTTATTTTTTTAAATTTCTTCCAGTATCTTTTTCTTAAAAGTTTAGCTTGAAGATACTTATTTTTAAAATCAAAATTTCAGGTTTTGCCTAAATAAGAAGAGGGGTTTTTCTTTCATTGTATCAAACAGTTGAACATCGTGTCACTTTCTGAATTTTTATTGATTTCTTCACAAGCTGGTGGGTGATTTCAGTACTACATATAATGAAAATATATTTGATAAGCCAGTTTCTGTATTTGTTAACTGCTGGGCATTGCCTTATAATCTGGAGTTTTTTCAGTATTAGTGCAACATTTTAAAAATATATAGTACATTGTCTTCTTAAAGTTAGAAATTTGCTTTTAAATATTCAAGAAGGAGATTAAAAGTCAATGCTGCTCAAAGATTAAATAACAGTTGATGTCAGCATAAATGAGAGAACAGACCAGTGTACTGAAATGTGCACTCTGCACTAACAGCTCCCCTTTGGTGAGATGGGCTGTTACTGAGGTGCAATTGAAACAGCAGCCTTCTCTTCAATAAGAGACAACTCTTCCAGAAGAACCACAGGACTTTTCCTGCCTCTCAGTGTCACCCTCTCAGTGAGAGTAGGTGCTGTGGATGTTAGGGACAGGAAGAGATGGAAACATGGCCAGGAACACCTCGCATTTCTGTCTCCTGGACCTTGTAGTACATTGTATAAGAGACACTGCTGTGGTTCTGGCTGGGGAAAATGCTGAGGAGGCAAGAATGAGCGGTGGAAAGGAGAGAGAATTGGGAATAAGAATTACACAGATGGAAAACCAGAAAGTGACAGTTACCAGGAATCACCGTTCCGTACTTCAAAAATCTAGTTTAAGGCTTCAGAGGTGTGAAGATTGTAAGCCTGTACATAGGAGATGCCAGAATTTAGATTGGCTATACAATCTATATGTTGTCGCATGCATTCTTTAGTGTCCTGTCCAAACTATTATCTGAATACCAAATCAACTCTTTGAGCTTTTTGATAAAAACCATCATAATGATTTCAGACTACTTTATTGATTATATTCCCACTACCTCTCTAAAGTGAAGAGACAGTGATATCAATGTTCCGCAAACTGGAATCACAAGGAGAATGCGTGCACCAATTCTGGGTGTTAGATTAGGTCTGTTATAATACGTACAATTATACTGCACTTTGAATATTCAAGCACAGTTCCCAGAGATGCCAGTCTCATCAGTCAGTGCTCTTACTTTGGACAACCTTAAAAGGAAGAGCATATACGCAGCCTTCCATGAGAAGAGTAGCTGAAGTAATTGGGCTTAAGTAAAATCTTGCATCCTATAGAATCATCTGACATGGGTTTAGAGCTGTTATTTGTTTGACCGCTTTAGTCTAAAGATACCCTATGTCTTCTTGCAGTCCATTGTTTGACCATGACATATGTTCCAACAGCAAGCAGTAACTTCACTGCACAGCAATAACTTGCTTTCCCATCAATTTCCAGTACAGACAGGCACTACAGTCCTGTCTGTTTCATTTGCATAATACCAGTCCCTTGTCTTATCAAGAGAACTGTTAAGGTTGTTCTGATTATGTTTTCCACGTGGAATATTTTAATAGGAAGGTATCTCTGGCCTTTGTTAAACCATAATTAGCAGACATAGAGGGAACAGATGACGGGGCCAGTGTTTTATTTAGTAATATAGTATTAAGCAGGTGTAAAATTTCAGTAGTGGAATGAGACATTTAAACCACCGTTTGGTGATACTAGTATAAAAACCAGTTCTTGATTAATTTTTAATTCGTCCTAGGGATACAGGGGAATTACATGCTTCATAGTAGATCGCAACACAGAGGGACTACATGTAGGGAAGAAGGAGGACAAGCTTGGAATCAGAGCGTCTTCTACCTGCCCAGTAACATTTGAAAACGTAAAGGTATTGTAAGTTGTTTAGCTATTGAAGCATAATTTGTGTATAATTGGAGCTTGACCACATATAAGGAAAGAATGTTAACTACATTCCCAATTTTTTTTTTCCTTAGACATACTGATTGTTTGGCATATTTTAACTTTTTCCTCCTTATTCTTTCACGGAAGTCTTGAGGGGGGGTGGGTTTCTTCAATTTTGATACAGTTTTTCTCAATCATCAGTTTATAATCACATGCATCAGGAAATGTTCTAACCAGATATTCTAGGAATCAAATGTCTGGTTTATGTTTTATGCCTTCACTTACGAGGAACATTAAATAAAACATGTACACTGATTCACCTGTGAACCGTACTAGCAGTTGCAAAGCAGAATAGAAGAGGAATAATTCAGTGGTTTTATTCTTTAGGTTCCTGAGACCAATATCCTGGGACAGGTTGGACAAGGCTATAAGTATGCAATTGGAATGCTAAATACTGGCAGAATAGGTATCGCTGCACAGGTGGGTAATTTTGTTTAATACTGAATACAAGCAGTATATAACTTTGAATTTGGATTGACATTTACAAAATTTTTAAAGCTAATAAGAATAAACTGTTTAGAAAATACTTTATTAAAAACTAAATTGCCACTAGATGTCACTATTCCTGTATCTAAGTTACAGTAAAATACTGAAAAAACTGTAAATGGTAAAATTCTCCTTCGGTGACATAAGCGATAGACTTAGAAAACATTACATGGCAATTAGTTTGTCTTTGATTGTTAACTTATTGCTACTGAAATATATCAACATTTTTATCTTCCATTATGCAAATTTATTTTACAAAGAAAACTAGCTTTGGAAAATATAACACACTGAAATGTATAATATTAATGCTTCCAACTGTGATTGTGTGGTATTGGCAATTGACCTTATGCTAACTGATGTTTTTCCAACAACTTACTTTTAAAAGTCAACTTATTTTTAAAATAAATATGATTTTTTATAGCAGAAGTGTCTAGTTCATTGTTGTGTTTGAAAATTGCACCTTAGTGCATCTTAGGGGAAAATATTTGCTGATCTTGGAGTTATTTCAAAATGTTGTATGTTGTTGTAAACTCAGTTTGGATCTCAGATTGCTGCTGATTTCAGTGGAAATCAGGTTCAGCCCTGTGATGGCTTTTCCATTATTTCTAAAGATTATCTATAGTTAAACTTTGTCTGATATGGCATTTAAAAACTAGGGCTGTGCGCCCCATTGTTCCTAGAGAAACAAATAATATAGAGGCTCTGACAGTAAAATACATGGTCTGGATTTTACTCTTAATTACTCCCAGTTACACTTATAACCTAATTAAAAGTTAAGGTCAGGTAGTTGTTGTATCTTAGTTACTACTTTCTTGGCACCTTCAAATGAAGAGAAATGTACTTGAATGTACAAGAACAGCAGTTCTAAAGCCCCGTAGTACTGAATTTAGTTTCGCAGTAGTAATAGTTTTAAAAGATAATGAACATCTTATAAAATGTAACTGTGGCTGTGAAAACAGTTTCAGATAGTTTTAGTGCAAGGTAGCTGCATATATTGTTACAGGTGCTGAAGTTGATGTACTTGGTTCATCTATATGTGTTTATATAAGAAGGCAACCAATCTGATTAGTAGCAGAGTATATTATTTTCTTACGTTCTTTTTCCACATGCTCATTTTCCTGTGTATTGTGGGCTTTTTCTAGAATCTTAAATGATTAAGGAGTAGATGTCTGAACCTAGTCAGAGTCATGTTTTTATCTTCTTGGGGCTCTTGGCTTTCAGCTTAATATGTGGGTCTATCCAAAAATACCCATACACTATTGTACATCATTAAAAGTAGTTGGACATAAGCTGCTTGATGTGACAGCTGACTGCCACATTGTAGTATCCCGTCTTGACTTAGAAAAGTTTTAGGAGATTCCAATTTTACCATGTACTGTTACCTTGCGTTTTGATAGTTCTTCATGCCATTCATTTCCCTTTGTTTTTTTTTTTCTTGTTTGATGCTTCCCCTAATCTAATTTCCTATCTCAGTTTTTCCTAGGAAAGAAACTAGGTAGAAAGAATGCATTCAGATGGATGGTAGTTATATAACGAAACCAACTGATCTTATTTACTAATAGCTATAGATTCCAAGATATACGAAAGGCAGGGCCCTTTCTTTACTATCTTGTTTGGAATGGAATACATTTCTCAAAATTTGGTAGTTAAAAAACCGTAAAACTAGTTTACTTTCCAGATTCCATAATGTTTCTTTAAGCTAACAAATCAGACACTAGGGTAGATGCGAGTTACTTCTTTAAAAATGTTCATGTGTAGTTTTCCCAGATGTTACCCTCCAAGATAATAATTGTATTTTGCTGTCTGCTGCTGAGTGAAAAGAGTGTGTGAAAAGACAATGGGTCTTCTAAAATTGTTCTGATGAGTTGGGTTTTTTTCTAGAAAATGCTGGAACAAATGTTATCTCTCCTTTCACTGTACTGATTTTCTAACTTCTGAAATAAATTGCTAATTCTGACAGTCTAGTGTCTTCTATAAAATGAGAAATTATTTTTATTATGAAAATTGCTTAGAATAATCATTCAAATTATTTTTCCTTTAATAGTGTAATGTAGATCTATAGATCTAGTTTAGTTTACAGTAATTTCCCCATGTAATTAAGTATTTTGCTAGAAACACTTAATATTTGTGCAACCACATTTGACCCATAACTTTTGTTCAAAAATTAGTGATAGTGTTCTCATAAATATCTTGCCTTTAGTAAAAAAGTTTCTTTCAGGAATGGAATAGTATGGAATAGGCTTATTCCTCAAAGTTTGGGCGTTTTATTGTCCTAATTCACCTCAATATGTCTTATTTCTTACAGATGTTAGGACTGGCACAGGGGTGTTTTGACCATACGATTCCCTATACAAAGGAGAGAGTCCAGTTTGGGAAAAGCGTATTCGATTTCCAGGTACTTGCTAATGAACACATGGGAAGTTTCCTCCAAGAGAGTAGTAGTTACCACAGTAGATTAAGTCAGTAAAATGAGTCATCTGATTTGCATAATTTGTGCTCCACCTTGTGTCGTGTCTCTACTTCTCAATATTTGAAAATAATTTTTCAAATTAATTTCAGATGAGCATTCATCTGCCATGTAAAATATATAAATTCAGTGCTATGTGCCTTTGCAAGTACCGTATAAATAATTTAAAACTTCAAAACATTATTAACATAACTCCTTTTCCTTGATAGTATATTCACTGCCTTTGAAAATAATACACACAGAACTCCTTTCTCTTCTGATTTTAATATCACAGTAAGTTGAATGTGTTCCGGTTTTTATAACCTTTCATGAGGTGTAGGGGAAGCCTTTTTCTGGAGACACTAGAAATTAAAAAAAGATGAGGAAAACTGAATTATTAGATTTCCTGTGTTATACAAAGACATTTAGTTTTCATGATAATATCTGTATCTTGAAACAAAAAAGACTCTTTGTTGCAAAAATGATGTATAGTTTAATAAGGAAGATATATAATTGTAATTACTATAGTAATTTTCTTGTTAAAAGAAACTTATATCTCGGATGAAGGGAAGGAACATTAGTACTACTCATAATTTATACAAATTTTAGGAAGCACGTGCAGATATCTAGGAAATTATTGGAACTGCGTCTTTTGAATGGGAAATGGAATTTATAATTGCGAAATCATTTTGTTATTTTGACCTGCATATATATTTTTGCAAATTTTAGGGAGCAGTGTTAATGTTCTAATAAGATTAAAGATTTCATTGTGTTTTAGGAGCAAGTTAGGCAACTAAATGTTCATTTTCAATCATCATAATGTTTGAGTCCTCTTAAGTAAACCTATTCTTCTGTAATATCTACCATTTAGAGGTGAGCTCCATCACCTTTTTCCTTCCCTTTGAATCCATTCATCAGTCACATTCTCTAGACTTTTATGCTGCTTCTAACTCTTGTCTCATGGTTATGGGAACATGGGAAGAAGTGGTTGTCACCACGCTATTTCTCCACTTTTTTAAGAGGTACTCTTTTCAAATTTTTCTCAGTTAAGCTCACAGCTTTGACCTACCTCTGTCTCTGTGGTGCTGAGGAGAACGTTAAGATTTGGCTGAAATTTTTCTTGATATTCATGGGTGCACACAGGTTCGTGTTCGACCCTCCTGTCCAGCCAGTCAGGCAAGAAGTTCCCCAGTACTCCGAGTCCAAGAAGAGGGAAGGAGAAAATAGTTCCTAAAAGGACCTTGGTGGTCCAGAGGTTTTCTAGCGTCGGTGTCATCGATGCAGAGATGTGCAGACTTACTAGTCCATCTAGATTTTGTATTTTTATTTTACAGTGTAGGTATGTTCCTTGGTGAAAAGAATGGTTCTTGCTAAAATTTCCAGTTGAGTACTAGACACTGGTTCGGTCTGACTTGTGGCTTATTACAGGGGATGCAACATCAGATAGCTCAGGTGGCCACGCAGCTGGAGGCGGCGAGGTTGCTGACCTACAACGCAGCCCGTCTTGCGGAAACAGGAAGGCCATTCATAAAGGAGGCCAGCATGGCCAAATACTATGCTGCTGAGGTAACTTGCAGTTTCTTTATTTAGTGGATTTATTTCAGTGCTGTTTAAATGTTTCTTCTGTTACTGAATGTGTAACTTTTAATTCATGTTTTGCTGTGGAGATCTGTGGATGTACGTTTACCTTGTTTCTCATTCTCAGTCTGTGTATGGAATGTAAAGTAGGCCACCCAAGAATAAACTTCTCGCGCCCTAAGTAAAATTTTGAAAAACAAATAACAACATTAAAAGAGAAAGTGAATTAGTATTTTCACTCATCTAGAGAGATTTCATTTTCTCAGAATTCTCTTTTTGGAGAAATGGCATGGTGAGACATCAGTTGTGACCATTTCAACTCCGCTGGTCACACCTGCGAGTCTTAATATGATTAAAAACTGGATTGCTTCTGCCTCTTCGTAATTGCTGTCTTGCATACCGCTGCTAGTCTTTTTCATAGTGCAGCATATGAACTGTTGCAGTAGCAGTTAGTGAATTCTTGATGTCCTCTGATTTAGAAAAAATGTAATTTTTATTCTAAAATAACTTGCATAAATAAGATGAATACAAAAATATTAGTCCTTCCTCTTCCCACTTGTTCTAGTTACTGCTTTAATTACTGTTTTGTTTTTGCTTTAAATAGATACAAAGAATAAAATTTACTACCACCTGCATGAAGTTGGATCCCGAAATTGTAACTCTGAAACTATTTTCATAGGTTGCAACACTGACAACTAGTAAATGTATTGAATGGATGGGTGGCGTTGGATTCACAAAAAATTATCCAATAGAAAAGTACTATCGTGACTGCAAGATAGGTAAGTGATAGTTTCTTAACAAGTGTTTCTTGTAGCATTTGTAGTATTAAAGTTTGGGGATGAATGACTGGCTATTTTTTTTAAGATATTTTTTCCCTGAGACTGTAATCAACACTGATGCAAAGGCTCAGATATAAGAAGGTAAAACTTTAGGTATAAATACCTGTGCATGTAAGGCTACTTAAACTGTTTAATTAGATACCAGTAAAATACAGACACACACATTCTATTAAAAAAAATTCCAGTTCAAAAAAATTGAAAACACTTTCTTTGGCTTTAAGATCTGAATCTATGTGGAGTTTTATTTTCAAGACTTCCTTGTTTACCATTATAATCCTTGGACCTAACAGTTTGACATTTCTAACAATATTACCCTTTGACTCCTATTGCTGATAGCATTTCTAAATACTTAATTTTTGTTGGTTATTTAGGAATTGCTTTTCAGGAAAATGTCTTGTCATTATGTTGTACCAGCAGAAGAGTATTTTAATTGTTGCAGATAATAAAATATGAACATTTATGTAAATAATAATTCTGTTTCTAGAACTTGCTCTGTAAAGCTTCAATTCATAATTGCAAATGTTCTAACTGGACTGTTAGAACAATATCTTGGTCTCTCTTCGTATACTCACTGTGGTTATATAGTCTTCTAATTTATTTTCTTCTGATTTCAGGTACAATATATGAAGGAACTTCAAATATCCAGTTGAGCACCATTGCAAAAAGCTTAGCACAGGAGTACTGAAACCATAAGGATTTCTTGACTGTCAACGGAAATTATTTCACTGAACATTCATTGTGAATTACACATTTATTTGTAATTATAAAAGTCATAAATAAGAATACATCATCACAGATAAAATTGTAAGGAAAACCATGAATTCCCCATTTCAGGACAGTGAGTGTGTAATTCATGCGAAATCGTGAATTCCACATTCAAATGCAAATCATGGGTTAAAACTGTCTCTTTCTGCCTGAGAAGCTTCTAAGTTAACACATTGGCTGAAATTATTGTGTCGCTTTGGGTTATACAAACAGTGTATCTCCACTTTGAGATTTCGAAGTGAAAAGAAAAGAAGCCAAATCCTTGGCTTGCCTGTTGTGAAAGGTTCTGTTAAGCCACCTGGGAGAAAGGACTCTACACGTGCAGCAGAACTGTTGCATGGCGTGAAGCTGCTGTTTGTTTGTGATGTCCTTTATTAGCATGGGGTACAGGAGAGGTATGTGGAAAGAGATAGAAGTGATGGTTTCCTCTCTCCCGGGTGGAGCGGTGTCTGTGGAGCTGCTGTAATTGGAGTAATTTTTGTAGTAGCCCTTAGTGTGCTCTTAAGTATATCTTGGTAATTAAGCCCTTCCAGCCCCAATTTGTAGTACTGAAAGGTGGATAATATCTACCTCCCTTTCCAGCCTTCACAGCTGTTAAGGGTTTTAATCTAAGAGGCTATTTATAGTTCTCCTTTCATAAAAGGTTGAGTTGAAATCTTTGTGAAATGGGGTTAAAAAAGCTCTAGTAGTTCTGCAAAAAGACGGAGATATAAGCTAGGTAATAGAAATGCTGTGATACTACCTCACAGTGGCCTTTCCATGTTCAATGCTTTTACAAACTTTAATCCTCAGAGCCTTCCTGGGGGTTAGGAACGGACTGCTAATTCGCAGCCTAGGAAATTCGCTCATGGAAGTTAGTGGTTCTCTAGCAAAGTTTTTCTGCTTTTGAGAGAGTGAGAAAGAGGAGGGGATTGAGAAGTATTTGCCTTTTTATCCCTCTCTGTTTGCTTTAAAATTAGACATTTTATTTACGGCAGAAACCTCTTCAGCATTGGAGAACTAATTAACTAAGAATCAAGAGACGGAAAGCTTAATATATGAAAAATCATTATAATTGCTGTAATTGGCAATTTGTTTCAAGTGTTTTGGGGAGGGAAGGATTGCTTTTCTGGTTTTGGCTGACTTAGAAGAATCTCATTTTTAAAGCTTGCTAGTCACTGATGATTCATTTTGAGTGGAGCTTAGAATGTTACAGGCTGAGACTCCCAAAGGATTTTCTAGCAAAACTAGGGTAAATGACACTTAACAAGTATGATTTTGTAAAACAAGCAGACTGTAGTGCCTTATACAAAGAAACGAGGAGGGAGGAAAAGCACTATTAAAAAATTTTCTGACTTTCTGTGCGCTTCAAAGGGAAGTAACTACTTTAGTGAATTACTCCCCCTACATATATGCTTTGCCTGTTGATAGGCGAAGAATTAATGTGGTAATTATCCTTATGCCAATAAAAAAAGCCCCCCCCATATCAGTTTGATCAACAGCTTTGAGATTTTTAAAAATACAAGAGTAGGAGGGTAGACTAGATGATTTCTGAAGTTTTATTCTAGCATTAATATTATTATTGTTGTTGTTGTTGTTATCATTATAATTATTAACGCATTTCAGGTTGTTTGCAGACTTTCTTTCAACTGAATTGAAACGGCTGGGGAGATTGTTAGACTAGAATTAAGACTACAGACACCACAACAGTTAATTACAGTTATTCTGCTCAACGTAGTTTATCTGGAGTCTAAAATTATCATAACTGTACTACAAAACGTTTGACTTAGCATTGATTAATGTGATGAGTTGTGCTAATGTGAGGCAGTCCTTAGCTGCTGCCGTTTAGCCTGCTTTGCTAACATGAGTGTCAGCAGAGATCAGGGTTTGATTCATACTGTTTAATAGGTCTCCTAGTTTGAGATACTATCTTAACTTGGCTTCTGCAGTTTTGCGTGAGGCTAGGAAGTGAGTGGCAATACTTAACTGACTTAATATAGTGCTAAAAGCAAACACTTTATGGAGGAAAGTGCAGAGCTCTTTGAAGGACTGTAAAAGGCCTGATATCCAGGATTATGTAAAAGGACTGTCTGTTTTTGTAGAACTGTGTCAGGCATCCATTTGAAAAAATAATCAGGAAAAAATCAAAATAATGTGGTTTCCTACAGTTTGAACTTGGATGCCATAGTCCAGGAAACAACCTGAACAGCCTTACCAGCTACTCAACAGTTCTTCTCAGAAAAGCAAGGTCAAGCCTTTAACTAATGTTACAGCTGTAAATATTTCACGTGTCTCAGTTCTATGTGCTGTATTCTATACAGAGTAACTTTTGTGAAATGTATGTATTGTATTTGATTTTTGTCTACAAAATTCTGTGGAGGAATATGCGCACAAATTAATTATAACCACTGAGTTTCTTTCATCGTTGTTTTAAAAGGGCACGTACCTCTGTGGAGAGCATTAGCTGTTCTGGTCGCTGACTCCGGGAAGAGTTAACTTGTGTAAGTCTGATTCCATTGCTGCACTAATGCAGTCGTTGGTTTAGTAATAAGATGTGTTGTGCTGTTGTCCAGGAGCTCTTAAGAGCTGCCTGTGCTCCCCACCCCCAGTTCAGTTTGGGACAGGCATTTATGGATTGTCATAAATTGCGTTTCTACATTTGGCACTGTGAGCACAGGGCTATTGATGGTGGCTGGCTGCACCAGTAGGTGTAGGGCTGCAGAGCTGGCGTTGTGAACGCTGTGAGGCTTTCTGTGCTCATGACAGGACTCCAAGCTGTTTTATACACCATATGTATTTATATTAGTGAGTTTTCCCTTTATATGCCCTTAGTCAGCCCAGTCAATCTAGTCTATTGCCCTGGAACAGCATTTTCAGTATCAAATGTTGCATCTGGGCTTCCACAGTTAGAAGAAAAGACCTGTATTGAGAATGCATTAAAAGTGCCTGAATTTTATATTTGACTTGATACAGTGCTAATCCTGTACATCAGGTGATGGTTCTCTAATATAATCTGTCATTTTAAATTGTGTCCAAGATCTTGCAATTTTGGTACGGGGAGAGAATGAATATATCTTCTGTCAGGTTTCTTTAGTATTATTGTGGTTTGTGATAAAGGTCTGAGGCAGGTTTCCACAGAAAGGTTTAATTGCTACATGGGAAATACTCAAATACAACATTTTATATAACGTTTTCTATGTTGTTGGTTTTTCTTTCCTATTTTCTTTTCCCCATATAAAGATTGTGTTAGAAAAGGCTTATGTGAAATATAAAGTAATTGTTCACTAGGAGCCTTTCGCTATGTAAAGAATTTTCTAATTAACATGTTATTGCATTTCCGTTTGGAAATCTTTTGGTGAGAGACACATTTCAAGTTCTTCCTACCAAGCTGAGCTCGATTTGAAACACAGGCTGGTTCGAAAGCAGCTGTCTGACTTTCTGGAGCTTGCTTATTGAATACATGAAAGCTGAAGAAACATTTTTCCTCAACCCCAGAATGTATTCAGTGTACCACTGTGATCGATCTTCTCCTAAGAGAATTATGTGAAAGTGGTTAACAGCTACCACAAATACTTCATAAATATTTACCTGTTATGTTATCGCTGTGCAAACTGTTGGCGGAGGCACAAATCAAGTGACAGCTGTCGGGCAGATGAACACGTATTGTATGATTCCCAAAGAATTTTCACGTGATTTGTCATTTTATGTTGTATTGAAATACAGTCGTTGCAGAGCGTTTTGCAAGTTGTCGTCTCTTCTGAAGTGTAACTTCTTGGTCTAGGTCCAGCTGAGGAGGCATGGTTAGTCGTCTTACTCTTCCAGATTTGGCTGCCTAGAGCTACGTAGCGTGGTCGGCTGTACGCGCAGGAAAGAGGAAGCAAGAGGTCTTGCCGAGCCCACACCAGAGACAGTTAAACGTCAGTGCATAGTGAATCCAGCATTCCAGGCTAACAAATAGGAATTACAATAATTATTTCAGTTAAATATGCCAGTTGTAAGATCAGTTGCTATAATTAACAAAGTCCAGCTTAGCGGCATTGAGGGAATTTCTCATTATCTGATATTAGAGACATTATTAAGCTGCTTTGAAATCTTGGCGTTTATTATCCTCTGAAAATATTCTGTTCATGTGCAATAACTATCTAATACATTGGGTGACTAGAACTAACCACTGTGTTTTCTAATAGCTTGTTTCATAGATCAGAGCATTCAAATGTTGATTCATATTGGTATATTAATGTTCAAAAGAACCTGCAATGTATAATGTAACATTTTTTCTGATAAAATACTTTAAAATATAAATCAAAAAGATGTAGTCTCAACAGGCAGCAATAGCATTTTTGTATATTATTCTGTCTTTCAAGATCATTTGGATTTACATCTTTCTGAAACTATTTTTCCTTTGTGTATCTTATTAGCTGTAGAGCTCCTAATACTGGAAGACTATACCTATAAAGAAATCTCAAGGTGACTTCACTGAAGATCCTAAAGAAAAAGCACTCCCATCTGACAGAAAACTGTGTCTCAGTAGCCAAGTAACGAGCACTTTCAGAACTGGGTTTATTTAATATACAAAATTAGGACTTCTGAATGTGCAGAAACATATGTTCATCAAACATTTTGCAGAGATCTCTGAAAAAAGGAAAGCTATTACAAGCTGTAACCACTCTCTTACAAAAAAAAAAAAATTCTAATAGCAACAGGAAAACCTAAAATACAGCAAGAAATCCTCAACTTCCACATTGGAAGCTTGTATTGTTTGGGGGTCACCTAACCAGGAAATTAGCATATAAGACTGAAAAGTAAATTCTGCTCTCTAACGAGCCAGACCTGGAGGTCTTACAGTCCGTTTGAAGTGTTACACCAACCATTGTCACAATTTGTGACAGTTTTAAAAACATCAGTTGTAAATCACCAGCTAAGGCAGGGCTGGACTGCTTTGGGTATGTTTAACAGAGGAGAGAAGTCAACTTGCCAATGTTAGGAGGACTTAAAATGAGCTTCACTGGAGGGTCATGGTGGGAAAGCGCCCGTTGGTGGGAAGAGCTGAAACAAAGTGGTAGTGCTGGTTCGGTTTAGGGCCAAATGCAGGTTGGCAGATGAAGAAATGCCTTCATGTTTGCCAGCTATGAGACGACTTTCCTAGCACAGATAGA